TGTCTTTTTCTAGCGTGTCTCGGAGTTCTTTATCCTGCAGAGTAAACGAGAGTGCAGAGTCTCCACCGAGGTGAGGAGGACTACGACAGCTCTGTTGCTTGCGTCCTTCATCATCCGAGTGACCCAGCACACTCTCTGCAGGCCTGCAGCCGTCGCCTCACCTTCTCAGTCACCCTGCTCAGAGTGCAGCTGCTGTGTGTGTGGTGCCCTCCGGAAACTCTGCATTGTGCTTTCCTCCCCCTATTCTCCCCCTCTCCAGCTTTTGTTTTCTATTTTGTTGTAGTATATTTGCTCTCCAATAGAATTTCTGTTCTTTTCTTTTCCAGATAATCAAAGATGAGGTTCTATTGTATCAGAACTGTAAACCACCTGTATTCAAATTAGCTTTCCTTAAATCATTGTTATGTGGAACAGAATAGAATTTCAGGAAAAATAAGTAAACTGAAATTTCCATTGGCCCACTGAAGATTTGAAATATAAAGCCAGTAATTACTTGAAGTTATTTTACATAAACTTTTGCATATTTTATGTTCCTTAGAAGAATCAGTATTGCCATTCCATATTTCTTTCTCTAAATCAATGGGAAGAATATTCCTTACATCTTCACGTTCATTCTGACACTGCTGTCTCCAGCCAGTCCTTTTTGGGTTCAGCATTCATAGAAAGAATAAACTGAATCATGTTAGATCTAAATGCAGTCATGTCTCCTTGCATCAGAAGAGTGATGGAAAAACGAGACACCACCATTCATTCTGTAATGTCCTGTACGTGTTAAGGCAGAATAGCTGTATACATTTTTGTAAACAAGCAACTCATGTTAGGAAATGAGTTCTTTTTTACGTGAGTTTTTTTTGCTCAATATCATTACTCATGAGCATTAAGGGAGGTGGATTGCTGAGTGGTGAGCCTGGTAAAGCTCTAAAAGCTGACATAAGCAGCTATATCTACAGCTCTCAATCTGCAGATCATACTGAGTGCTGCTGTGATTGCAATTTTGTTTTCTATAAGACTTTTGTTGATATTAGGAAATTATTTAATTATTTTTATTGATATGGAGTTTAGTTTAAATTTTATTTGAATGTTGATAACTTGCTTAACTGTGCCTCTGGAAATCTTGACATTATTTTTGTGTACCACATCTTTTCTTGATGAATAACATTTTTTTTGTCAGTTTGTGATTTAGCCACTGCATGTAGTCTCTGTCTAAATTATCACTAATTCTCGATTAGTAATGTCTGGTAAGATTTAGTACTTAAATAAGCCTGTGTTATGATATCTGGATGTGAGGAGTGAAATAGATTTGTGCTTCTGCAGTCTTTCCTTGTTCTCTTTAAGAACACGTTAGAGTTTCTATCATGTTCTTAATTAGAGAGCAGAAAATTTTCTCTTATTCATGCAAGCTTTTGTAGACTGGGGAATCGGAATGTAGAGGAGGAAAGATTTGAATAGGATTATTGTCTAGCTTCTCTGTTCGCTGTCTTACAGCTCATTCATAAAAACCAAGACTTTGATGCATTTTTGTTGGGAGAGGCACTATCTGAGCCTACTGTCAGTGTGACTAGGCAGCCCGTTTGGCATCCCAAATAGGGAGACTACCTCGTTCACCTACCACTTCCTTTGCAATTAGGTGATGTTTTCTCTTGGCTACAGTAGCAGACAAACACAGCAAAGCCTCTTTGTGGTCCCCATGAGAACAGTGTCTGTGGCATCACCCCAGTTGCTGATAAGGGAACTGTATATGTAGCATTTCAACGATGGAATGTGATTTAGTAAAACAACATAAGTCCATTTTTACCAATCAGAGTTTAGCAGCCTCAGGAGTGGTGTCAATCAAAAAACCTCTTATTAATATGCCAGTGTGTTTTCTAGAAGGTGAAGTCACCACCTTTTCCATCGCCAGGTCCTGTGTGGCCCATGCTATCCAACAGCATCTGTACATTCCATCCCCACCACCCACATGTACCCACAGCACTCTGAGCTTCTCCAGAAAATTCTCTGGCCTGGCAACACTGTTAAGTGCTCCTCTCTGCCCATGTGGTTGAGGTGGATGGGGCTCTCCGCATAAGTTCTTTTGTGAACATTTATCACATTACCAAAACTATTTTTAATTGCCTGGATAAAAATATTCCATTGAAGCCCATAGAGGTTAAGGAAAAATGTGTTAGTGGCAGAGTGGGGACCAGATCACGTGCCCTTGGACTTTTACTCTGTGGTTCCTTCCAGGGAAAAGCATAAAAATGATTATTGTTTTTAAAGTTTGTGTTGCTATTTAGTAATTTTTTTGGTTATCCTTAATTATATTTTGGTGTGAAAATGACATTATGGAAACAGTTGTGTAAAGAGAAGCATTAAAGATTGGCAAAGATAAGCAACACCAAGTGATCTGCAAGGGGAGGGGAGAGGAGGAAGATGAAAAACTTTTGGTGTGAAAATGACATTATGGAAACAGTTGTGTAAAGAGAAGCATTAAAGATTGGCAAGGATAAGCAACACCAAGTGATCTGCAAGGGGAGGGGAGAGGAGGAAGATGAAAAATTCTGTGGATTTTATTTCTACTCTTATTCCTTTATCTTATAGGTGGGAAAAGTTATACCCATGGAAGTTAAAATGACCTGTCCAAATTCAGTTTAGTAGAAGTCATAACCTAGATTTCCTGACTGCATTCAGTGCTGTTTTCAGTGTGATACACTGAATGCCCCTCAATGGGAAAAGATGGTAATTTCATCATGGAAGTTAAATAAATCTGCAGCTAATCAAGGAACTCTTAGAAAGTGTGGTCCAAGTGAGAGTTTACTCTCATGAACTCTTAGGAGTTTACTCTCATTCATTCTTAATGAATCCGTAAGTGCAGCGTATGTTTCCTATAAGAATTTCAGCTAATACCACTACTGTATCAGTTAGCTTTTGCTTTGTAACAAGCCACCCCAAAACAGTCTGTTAAAACAAGAGTCATATATATTTTACAGTGGTTAATCATTAGGAGCATATCGTAGTATTATTTGTACTTCTTCCATTTTGATTTCTATCAGATCTTTGGAGTCCAGTGTAATTAAATCCATATATTTCTTAAATGATATAATACTTCTTCTAAATTTTAAATAGACTATTTCTTTCTTTTTTTTTTTTTTTTTGTCTTTTTCCATGTCCGGCAACGGTTCGCAACCCTCAGTGTTGCCCCCGCACCGGACCGGGACCGGCAACGGGATCGCAACCCTCGGTGTTGCCCCCGCGCCTCGCTCAGCCAGTGAGCGGGAACCGGTCTGTATGTGGGATCCGAACCCTCGACGGGAGCGCCGCCGCGCTTCCTAAGCGGCGCACTAGCGTAGTGCGCCACCGGGCCAGCCCCTAAATAGACTATTTCTTTCTTTTTTTTTTTTTTTGTCTTTTTCCATGTCCGGCAACGGTTCGCAACCCTCAGTGTTGCCCCCGCACCGGACCGGGACCGGCAACGGGATCGCAACCCTCGGTGTTGCCCCCGCGCCTCGCTCAGCCAGTGAGCGGGAACCGGTCTGTATGTGGGATCCGAACCCTCGACGGGAGCGCCGCCGCGCTTCCTAAGCGGCGCACTAGCGTAGTGCGCCACCGGGCCGGCCCCTAAATAGACTATTTCTGAAAAGGAAAGAGAAATTAATTTTTCTCTGACCTTTATTTTACGTAAGGAATAATGGTGTTTCATCATAATGTAATCTGTATTTATGCACCTATTTTTAACTTCAAGGCCTTTAAATAAAAAACAGTGTTTTATAATTATAATGAAGATTCCATGTGACCTTTGTACCACTGTAATGCTCCAGTCGTGAAAACCTTAAGCTCTGGCATTTAAGAAATAATTAGTTATTAATAATAGTTCACATTGGATTTTATAGGTTTCAAAGCATCTTCACGTAACTTAACCAAGTCATTTTTAAACTACTTGAACACAGTGTCACGCTTGACCATTCATACTGCCATTATTGTTGGGTTCATTCTGTTTGTGATGGAATTTTCAAGTCTAAGCTCCCACATATCCTTTTTCAGTACTGATGGTTGGGAAGTGCTTTCAGTGTTGAGTCGTGAAAGTATGTTCAATTATGTCCCCTTCGTGTTAGCTTTTTGTAACGGGCCCCTCGAGCATCCACAGTTGATGTGTCTTCCCGTCACGTGCTGCAGTTTGCTCCTGTTGGTGATGAATCTGTCTCCCTTTTGTTCGCAGTGTCTCAGTTTGAAACTGAATTCTACATCAGTGGACTTGCACCACTCTGTGATCAGCTTGTTGTGCTTTCCTACGTAAAGGAGGTTTCCGAAAAAATGGTAATTATTTTCTCTCCAATACAAATGGATGCAGGGGTTCATTTTTAGCATTATACCCGGATCAGATTGTCTGTCAGAGGGGTCTGCTGTCATCTGAGCAGAACTTTCTGACAGTAAAATAAGGTGGGCAGCGACTGCCTTGTGGACCTAATGCATTTACCTTCCAGAAGCTCCACTCGTTGCCTGCCTTTGTTCTTTTTGCTGAGCACGGAAGAGAGTCATTTTTTCTCTCGCCTTTTTCCATCTTTCTTCGTATTTTAGCTGAAAGGAATGAAGGATTTTTCCTGCTGAAAGGAGAAGAAACTAAGCCGACACTGTGCGTTAGCAGAAATGACAGCAGTGAGGTCAATCAGCTGCAGCAACAGGGGTCCCTGTAGTCAGAGGGAATCACAGAAAAGGCAGTTCATCATTTCCTTTGGTCCAGGCATATTTGTTTACTTCTCAATGGTCTAGTGATTCTGAGTAGCTTGATTATTGCTTTAAAGTGGATTGTTGCTAACTCTCAGTTATTAATGCAAAAGATGGTGCGGCTAATAGAAAGCAGCAGATGATCTATATTTCATTCTATGTGATGTTGAAAGAAGCCTGTGTACGTATGGGCCCGTGGAAGGGCATGCACACCAGTCTCCCTTTGAAGCCTAAGTGAGTCCCATTCCCAGCTTATCTTTATTGTTAGAGTCCAGGGATCCTGCCAGGAAGGGGATGGGGTGGCTTCAAGGCATAAACAGGGAGAGCCAATTGTAAAGGATTTTCTTTTGGAAACTGTACACAAAATAAATTGCTGTTGACTCTCTAGCCTTTGCAGTAAGTAGGCAAGTGGGGTCTTCTGGTCTCTATCCTTTTCTTTTTTTCTTTTCAAATGGCAAGGAATAAATGGGGGAAGAAAAACCCCGGGAGTCTTAGTTCTACAGTGGTAGCTGCTCTTGAGCATTTCTCAGAGAGAGAGAGTACTTGCATTAGGAAGCCATCACTATAGCAACTGAAGCTCTGGGTGCCCATGTTGCTAGGCAATGAAATGCTGTAGACTTAAGTGAACACTCAAACCCACTAAAATCAATAGGGTTGGCTTCTAGCCCTATTGCAGGACATCAGTTTATTATTATTTTATTTATTTTTTGAAAATAAAGAAAAGCAGTTGCTCCTAGGGGAGTAAATACAGTGCTTTTTGATGAGGAATGTGGGGAAGGTTGAGAATGTGATCGAAAGAAATAAGGAAAGAAGCAGTAAAATGAAAAAGGGAAAGCCTAATAAATAACTGACAAAGAAAGGAAGGAAGGATGGAAGGAAACTTTTGTTAATAAAAGAGTAGTGGAAAGGAATAAAAAGAAAGGCCAACTACATAGGGAAAATTAGAAAATGGAATTTTTTCATAGGAGGAAGTGAGGGTCTTGGAGATGACTTAAAAATGGGTATGCCAGTGAATATAGGTACTCATTTTATATAACACAAAAGCATACCTTAAATTCTTAAACACAGTAACTTAACATAATTATGACAAAAGGAATAAAAAGGTAAGCTTCAGGCCGTCGTGAATATAGGTACTCATTTTATATAACACAAAAGCATACCTTAAATTCTTAAACACAGTAAATTAACATAATTATGACAAAAGGAATAAAAAGGTAAGCTTCAGGCCGTCCCTGCCCCCTTCTTCTTTTCCATATGGAAAAGGTGGTTTAACTACATTAAATAATTTGTTTTTATATCCTTCAGTATTATCTCCCACATACTTTCCATGCGATGCCCTGCACATATGTGCATGTTTTCACACAGTTGCAGTCACAGTCACATGCTGCTCTGGCTTGCCCTGTTTTTATGAGCGTTGTTCCCTTATCTCTCCATGTGGATGTGTAGTCTGCATAATCATCATGTCGAGTAGTTGTGTTCTGTCTGGTTGATATACCATAATTTATACCCTGCTCCCCTAATGTTTTGCTTTTCTTTCATTCATTGATAAAGCACCTGCGTGTTAAGAATTGTGCTAAGTACTGTGGATCAAAGGTCAACAAAACCAAATTCCTGCTCTTACTTATGATGGTCACGGATACGTGAGGCTCTTTGGCCGGGGAACAAAAGGTGTAGAATGAGATGAAGCACGCTGCCGATGCTCCTTACATGTGCAGAGGAGCTTTATATGATCTAGTGCGGCGCCTTTCTTTTAATTTTACATGGTCCGGCTACTTTTTTCTATGTTCCTATTCTGATTTTTGCATTTTTTGTCATTGTAATAGCAGTCACTTTTTAAAAAAATATTCACATCTTTTTTTCCTTCGTTTTTTTTTTTCTGTTGTTTCAAAATTGAGCAAGTTCTCTTTTCTCCACAGATTCAATAAATTATGGTAGATATTCACTGTTTTTTTCCTCTACTAGTTGATCTTTTATAGTTGCTATTTTATTTTCAGAATGTTTCCAATGTATGAGATGCAAAGCTAATGTAATTGCTACTCAGTTAACCTAACAAAATTAGTCAAAGAAATCTTCTAGGCTTATTCTTTTATTCAGGAAACTTGGAGAGTCGGGTATTGTTCTGATCTTTTTTTCTGTTCTGTTCCTTCGTCTGTGTTCTTCTCTGCACCAGTATCGTACTGCTTTACATATTATTGCTTTGGAGAATGTTCAAGTGTATATTCTATGCCTGTATGCTGAATACTCAAAAAGCATGAACTTTAAAGTAAAACAGGTTTGCCATAAGTCTTTTTTCATAAATCCCAGTCTCACCATTTACTTTGACCTTAGTTAACTTTTTGATCTTCAGTCCCTTCATCTATAAAATGAGGACAATAATGTTTAACTTTGCAGGGTTAATTTAAGAACTCAGCTAGAGTAATCTGCATATAATTACCTGCTGGGTTTGTTGAACTGTCCCAGGTGCTCAGTAAATGTTAGCTCATCTTTCCCTTACTTCTTGATCCAGAGCTACGCTGTCCAAAACTATAGTCACCAGCCACGTGTGCCTGTTTACATTAATTAAGATTAAATGAGATTAAAAAAAAAATCAGTTTCTCAGTCACACTAGTGACATTTCATGTGTTCAGTAGCCGCCTGTGACTAGTGTCTACCATATTGGGCAATGCAGATATAGAGCTTTTTTTTTTCATCTCAACAAGTTCTCATTTAGAGATGGCTCTTTATCTTTGGCTTTTTAGCACTATCACTAAGTTTACTAGTAGTGGCAATGATTTGGATAGTGGAGCAGTTTGTGATATTTTTCCTTTTTCTTGCACCTGTGTGGAAGGGATGTGATGCGGTTGTCTAAGTAGCAGGTCGTCGTTGTGGCCCCCCCACCCCCACCCCCGGGAGTTGAATGAGCTGCAGGGGTGGGTGGAGTTGCTGAGTGACACAGGCATGCTGCACCTGTCCATGTCATGCAGAAGTCAGAGAATAAAACAATGTTAGGAAGCGGTCCACAGCAAGCTGGTAGAAGGGCTTCTGTGTGCCAGAATGGTAAAACCAGGGCAAGTATGGCTAACTAGAATTAATTTATAGAACTTATAAATTTGTATAACTCATAGAAACGTAATTAAAATGAGCCTTTCCCTCTCTTTTTCCCTCTAGGAAAGAGAATACTGCGCCAGGCCTAGATTGGACATCATCCAGCCACTTTCTGAGACTTGTGAAGAGATCTCTTCTGATGCTTTGACAGTCAGAGGCTTTCAGGAGAATGAATGTAGAGATTATCATTTAGGTGAGAGAGATCAAAGATTTGGCTCATGTGATTTCTTATACTTATGGCTTTTTTTTCCCCTTCCACTCAACTTGAACTAAAGGGAATACAAAAGAAAATTTAGACTGAGGTGCAGAAAGGATCTTAGAGGATATCTGGACAGGCCTCGTATGTTGAAAACGAGGGTACTTAGGCACAAAGATATTGCAAAACTTGTCTGAGCTTTGACAGTGAAAGGAAAGAGTAGAGATGGGACCAGGACCAGCTGAGGAGTAGGCTCCTTGTTTTTAGTTCTTGTATTTTTACTGTTGTTCTTTTTAATGTGACTATTAACTTGGTGTCAAGCAGCATGGATCTGTGGTTGTCATATCACTCCCAACTTTATGTCCCTAGAAGGTTTGGTATGGGAGGCAGAGAAGTTGTCTTTCCTTTGGTAACCGAGTGCTAGGAGCCTGGAAGACCGCTGGTACATACTAGGTGTTTAGGGAATATTTGTTGAGTGGATGGATGAATATGTTTAGTCACTGCTCAGAAAGAAAGGGAGAACCATTACTATCTAGTCAAACCAGGGACATTTGTACTGGATGTCATCATATCCTTGGAAAACGTATTGAAGACAATGGAACAGTTAAATTTTTTAGAAATTCTTTCCTGCTTTAAAAACAATTGATACTTTTAAAGAATATTTTCAGTTCTCACTTTAGCTAAAGGAAATGAAATAGTCTGTACATGTTTGAACTTTCTCCTATGAAGCCCTATCAGTTGAAAAATGTGAGAGTATGTTCTGGTCTTGGCAAAAAGCAACTGTGATTCACAACTGAAAGCATCCAATCTAGTTGTTTTGCTCAGAGC